ATCTACATGAGCCGATGTTTCCATTTATGAACGTTATATTTTAAGATGTGTGCAAGAACTTTTCTAACGGATGTTTCCGTATATTAAAGCTATGTTCAAGTTTTATTTATATATACATATTTTTATTCATATAACATTTGTGTAATGTTAGTTGTAACATACTTTTTTTTCTGCTTTTTTTTACAAAAAATATTTGCCACATTTTCCCCATGCTCCAAATAACGAGTGAATGCGTTGGTTGTTAGGCCTAAAGCTAAACAGTGATCACTGTCCACTGCAGGTATGGAAGGCAGATTTAAGCGTCGAGTCCACACCGCCGAGCCACTAGGAGGGGCATTCTTTTATAATAATTTTTGTTACCTTTGTAAATAGTTACAATGACGTGTGCCGAAAGTCTACAAAAGGGGTTCATATTTTGTGTTATTAACTTGAGAAGATAAAATTTGAAGCTAATGTTCTTAACCATACAAACTTTAATCATTAATTACATCGAAGTTTTCGTAAGTGTAATGCGCACTCTTCCAGAGGGGGGGTTGATTAGGGTAGAGTCAATATTACGATAGTGCAAAATTAAGCGTTTTAATATTTTCTACTAACGAAAGTAATAAGTAGATTATACAATACATATAACATTTTAATATGTATCCGTGTATCATATCTCGTCACATCACTCACTTTTTCATTAATTAAAAAAAAAAAAGAGGGGGCGCGCAAGAAACCATATGTATTAAAGGGGTCGTGGATGACAAAAGTTTGTCCAATGTTTGTCAGGAAGTCTTACTATTTAACCAAAAAGATCAGTAGTAAATAGCAGTTAACTAGTTGAAAAAAAGTTGTTAAAACTTGTTTGTTTTAAGCACAAAACTACACGATGGGCTATCTATGCTCTGCTTGTTGCCCAGTGGCACAGTGGTATGTCTGCTGACTTACACCGCTAGAAACCGGATTTCGATACCCGTGGTGGACAGAGCAGAGATAGCTCTTTATGTAGATTTGTACTTAACAAGAAACAAACAACCTATGCTTTGCCCGCCGTGGGTATGGAAATCCGATTGTTAACGATATAAGCCCCATACCTACCCCTGCGCCACCTAGGTACGTGTATTATTATAATACCTTCACGACCATCTAACTTCGGTGGATTTAAACCAACCACGATCTCATTAAATATGTTGTACCTTTGAATTTACATTTTCAGTTTATTGTTATTTTTTTCACTCGTCTTTCAGATTCAACTAAGCGGACCGACTAGTCTAGCACCTGTCATTTACCGTTCAATCGATATCGTCAGACACTCTCGAGCATTCCACATAATTTTAATCGTTACAGATGGACGCCTGTCTGAAGACGATAGTGCCTCAAAGCGCGCCCTGGTGGAAGCCTCTCGAAATGCTCTATGTGTAGTGGCGATCGGTGTTGGAGACGGGCCCTGGCATACTATGGAAGAGTATGACGATCGTCTGCCAGACCGAATGTTTGACAATTTTCAATTCGTTAGTTATCAAGAAGTTCTTAAGTCTTCAAAGAGCCCAGAAGCCGCTTTGGCTCTTCATGCCTTGATGGAAGTTCCTGACCAATACAACGCAGTTCGAACGCTAGGATTTCTAGAAAAGCCTCAAAATAAAGAAAACTAGCATATTTCGTCAAGAAATAACTCTTATGGGGGATAAAATGCAGTTATTCCACGGAGATACATATATTAAGGGTGGTGAAACTCTGTTCCGCATGCTTTCCTTTTTCAATTTTCAATCTATGCATCAATGTTCTTAGATAACTCTGAAAAGTCTTACAATTTATTACCCTAAAAGTGGTGTAAAGCTATTTAACTAAAGTACTTTATTTTAAAAACTTTAAACTTTATCACAGCTTTAAACGACTCGAGTAAAATGGTCAAGCTTAATACCCGGTAAGGTGGTCTAGCTTAACCTAGTAAAGCGTACCCGGTAAGGTGGTCGAGCTTAATACCCGGCAAGGTGGTCTGGCTTAAACTACTAAAACCTACCTGGTAAGGTGGTCAGTCTTGTAAACGATTAAATTCTACCCGGTAAGGTGGTCAGTCTTGTAAACGATTAAATTTCTACCCGGTAAGGTGGTCAGTCTTGTAAACGATTAAATTTCTACCC